GACCATTTATTGATGGTCTTCTAGAAACAGAAATTGGTATCCATCGCTGCACTCTCTTCAAGATAGTATTAAGAATCTAAGCCCTTTGCAAAGTCATACCAAATACTTCAAAGTTATTTTTCTTGCATTTGTCCATTGCACTGAAGGGGATTTCCCTTGCTTAAGCTCTCCCCAATGGCACAATGCAGAAATATCTCATTTTCTAATGACAGAATGAACTCTTCTGCCAGAGTGGATGAGCCATGAAACAGAATTAGCCACATAACCATGTTCAATTAACCACAAGTGGAAAAAAATCACAGGCTACCACAGATATTTGCAAATTATTCAATAGTTGCAAATTCATTGCCTGAAATCGGTAAATCCTTGACAATTTGTTCAGTCTATTCAAATTTAAATTAAATGTCTCTCCAGGATCACCAAGTTTTGCATTTAGTTCCAAGTACCAAAGGGAAAACAAGTGACAGCCACAGGGTTGCACCTTGTGTACTCTCCATTCTGAGAACTGATCACTGCCCATACCGACTGTATGCTTAATTCTAACCTGATCGACAGAACCACATTCCTTTCCCTGTCATTACCTTCCTTCTTTGGGGACTAAGCCCCATCCCAAATCAAAGACAGCAGACATTGGACAAATACCACCATCTGAACACAGCTTCAACAACATTTTGACATCATTTTGTGTTGTATTTTCAGACCTCTTTGCCACCAGCACGTGGTACTCAATTTGAGTAGTTCACTGCAAACAATCCTTCTCCATCTCTGCTGAGTCTAGGGCCTCATCTTAATGTTAGAGGATGGACGACTAACGAGTTTGAATTGAAGAGGCTCTTGTCTTAGATAATAAGTTAATCTCATGAAAGCATTAGGTACAGTTTACTTTAATTTACTGTGTTCAGGGGTCAGTTAGCTCTGTCGGCTAGGCTGGTTTGCAATGCAGAGTAACACCAACAGCATGAGTTCAATTCTTGTGTTGTGATGGGCTGAATGGTCTCTTTCCACACTGTACAGATTCTATAAAAAGAAAATAAAGGCTACAGAGGTGAGTCAGGAATGTGGAGACAAGATAAATAATAACAAGGGCCTGATCCAAATTTTTAAATCATCTTTGGGCACAGGAAAGGTGCCAGAGGACTGGAGGATAGCTAATGTGGTTTTAGTTTATGAAAAGAGTGGTAGAAATAGACCAGGGAGCTATAGACCAGTAAGTCTAAGATCATTGATAGGGAAACTATTGGAGGCAATAGAGAAGAAAACAAATTAATCTCAATTTAGAGAAGCAAAGTTTGATTAGGGATAGTCAGCATGGCTTTGTCAGAGGGAGGTCATGCCTACTGAATTCGATTGAATATTTCGAGGAAGTGACCAGGTGTGTAGCTGAGGGTAGAGCAGTTGATGTAGTTTAAATGGATTTCAGTGAGGCCTTTGACAAAGTCATAGATGGGAAACAGATAGCGAAGGTAAAAGCTCCTGGGATCCTAGGTAACTTAGCAAGTTGGATCCAAAACTGGCAAGGGACAGAGGGTGGTAGTTGCAGGCAGTTGTGTGACTGGAGGCCGGTGATCATTGGTGTACCACAGGGATCAGTGCAGTTTCTTACTGTTTGTGATATTTGGTGGGGTTTGGGGGCAGAACGATAACTAAGTTTGTGGATGACACAAAGATTGGCTGGGTGGTTGACAGTGAGGAAATGGTATTCGGTTACGGGAGGATATAAACAATAAGGTCAGATGCAGATTATTGGCAGATGGAGTTGAACCCTGATAATTGTGAGGTGATACACTTTGGAAGAAGTAACAAGACCAGGGAGTGGTCGATGAATGGTAGGACAGTCGGAAGTTCGGAGGAACAGAGAAATCTTGGGGTGCTTGTCCACAGATCCCTAAAGGTGGCAAGACAGGTTAATAGAATAGTTAAGCAGGCACACGGGACAGTTTCCTTTATCAATCACGGCATAAATTATGAAAGGAGAGACATTATGTTGAAGCTGTACAGAATTTTGGTTTGGCCACAGCTGGAGTAGTGTGTGTAGTTCTGGTCACCACACTCTAGGAAGGATGTGACTGCACTGGAGGGGGTGCAGAGGAGCTTCACCAGGATGTTGCCTGGGATGGATCACTTCAGCTGTGAAGAGAGGCTGGACAAGCTCAAGTTGTTTTGTTTAGATCAGAGAAGGTTGAGAGGGGACTTAATTAAGGTGTATGAGGAGCGTGCTCAGGGTGAAAAAAAAAGCAGCTGCTCCCCCGAGGCAAAGGGTCAAGAGCAAGGGGGCACACTTTTAAAATGAAAGGCAAGAGGTTTAGGGGTGATTTGAGGAAAAGAATTTTCACCCAGAGGCTGGTGGGATTTGGAATGGACATTCTGTGGGGGGAGTGGGGGATGGGTTCAAGTAGAAAACCTCACCATCTTTAAAATGTACTTGGATGAGCATTTGAATATTATAACATTCAAGGCTATGAAGCTAGTGCTGGAAAATGGGACTACTGTAGATGGTAATGTATTTGTTGGTGGTACAGACTTGATGGGCTGAAGGGCCTATTCCGCACTGTATGATTCTAGGATCAGCCATAATCATATTAAACAGTCAGAAGTCAAGCGACGCCAAGTGAAGAGGCTTCACCTGATGAAGCAGCAGCGCTCCGAAAGCTTGTGATTTCAACTAAAGCTGTTGGACTATAACCTGGTGTCATGTGATTTCTGACTCTGCCCACCCCAGTCCCTCCACATCATATTAAATGGTGCAACAGGTTTGAGGGGGCCAGGGGACATATTCCTTCTCCTAATTCAAATGTTCATGTGTTCTGCCAAGTCGAACATACAGCCAGGATATGAAGGGATTAAGTGTTCCTGGTTACTTGGCTCAGAACAGACCAACAGGAGAAAATTATGATGATCATGTTTTGAGTCTATATAATCATTACTACTTAAAAATTAATTGGCTTAAGTTATTTTCAGTGGCATGTCCCCACATTCCATCTTCAAGAGTGCCTTATCTCCACCTCATGATTCCCCAAAAGCTTCCAGTGACACATTGACAGAAATTACTAGCTCCATCGTTTTAGTGATTGAAGGTACTGGCCAATCTTATACCTTCAGAACATCTTAATTCAGCGTTTAAAAGTGATGGAGTATCTCATCAAACAACGGGTGGAATCTGATGGGGCTCGGAGGGGTCTCTGGTGAGATTTGTGGCAGAATCAGATAAGGCATCCAGCAAGGCTGATCTCAACCTCCACAGCATTTTGCACCAACTTTTATCGCTTTTATGTGCAGCATACTTTGCAGCAGCAGCAAACTGCCAATGAAGCATGATTAATGCTTGTCAAAGGCATTGTTTACAGCCAAACCCACCTCATTAATATTGAGTTTTCTATTTTACCAAACTCGCCAAACAAGCTGTTTGTTGAGAAAACTCAAAACAGAAACCGGAGTGGGTTCCTGGCAAATTCAGTTCACTATTTGCTCCAAAAGACGCCCATGTTGGACAGTGGGCAGCAGCTACCTGAGGGTACACTCTCCTGTGTATGACCCTCTGGTGTTTAGAGTTATACCTGGCACATACGAAGATGTTGCTGGAGGTCAGTCATCCCAGCTCCAGGACATCTTTGCAGGAGTTCCTCAGGGTACTGTCCTAGGCCCAACCATTTTCAGCTGCTTCACCAATGGCCTTTCCTCCATCATAAGGTCAGAATTGGGGATGTTCGCCGATGTTTGCACAATGTTCAGCACTATTTGCGACAGCTCAGATACTGAAGCAGTCCATATTCAAATGCAACTGGATCTGGACAATCTCCAGGCTTGGACTGATAAGTGGCAAGTAACATTTGGGTCAGACAAATGCCAGGCCAGGACCATGACTGATAAGAGACATTCCAACCACTGCCACTTGGCATTCAATGGTGGTACCATCACTGAATCCCCCATATTAACATCCTGGGGATTATCATTGACAAGAAACTTAAATGGACTCACCACATAAACACAGTGGCTACAAGAGCAGGTCGGAGGCTAGGAATACTGCGGTGAGTATCTCATGTTCTGACTCCCCAAAGCCTGCCCAACATTTACAAGGCACAAGTCAGGAGGGTGATGGAATACTCCCCAGTTGCCTGGATGAGTGCAGCCCCAAGAATACTCAAGAAGCCTGACACCATCTAGGACAAAGCAGTCCTGGCTTGATTGGCATTACATCCACAAGCATCCACTCCCTCCACCACCGACACTCAGTAGCAGCAGTGTGTACTATCTACAAGATGCACTGCAGAAATTCACCAAAGATCACAGAACATAGAACATAGATAGAACAGTACAGCACAGTACAGGCCCTTCAGCCCACGATGTGCCAAATTTTTACCCAAAACCTAAGGTCTATCTAACCTCCACCACTACCTTCCTCAGATAGCACCCTCCAAAGCAGGACTGCTTCCATCTAGAAGAACAAAGGCAGAAGATACAAAGGAACACCATCACCTTCAAGATCCCCCTCAAGCCATTCACCATCCTGACTTGGAAATATATCACAGTTCCTTCACTGTCGCTGGCTCAAAATCCTGGAATTCCCTCCCTAATAGCCTTGTGGGTCAACCCACAGCAGGTGGACTGCAGCGGTTCAAGAAGGCAGCTCACCACCACCTTCTCACGGGCAACTAGGGTCGGGCAATAAAAGCTGGTCAGCCAGCGATGCCCACATCCCACAGATTAATTGAAAAAACTCCATTGGCAAGGGCCACACTCACCCCTCAACCACTAATATTGGTAACTGACATGTGCCTGTCTCTAAGAACCCTCATAAAACATCACCAATCTACTGCCAGTACGTTTCTGTACTTCAATGCTGCACCTCGGGCTGTCCCAGTAACTCTCGTTGTCACGATGCAGTAAGGACATTGTGCGCCCATGGACACAATCCCAGTTCATGGGTTGCACCAGGCTGCATCTCTGGGGTCTTCATTTGTTGTTTTGGCGCTCACTCACTCTGAGCATCCCCGGATACTCACAGCATCCCTGGCTTGCCTTGCATAGCATTGCTTTGCTTTGCCTTTTTGTGCCCTTAGTCAGAATACGAGGCTCAGTTTATTTCTGCCTTGCATTGCTGTTTATTGCAGACAAGAAGCCAGGAATTTTGTCAGTGTTGTTGGCAGGCCTCAGTGTAGTCAAGAAGGATAGCCTTTGGTCAGGCGGTCCTGGCACAGTAAGTCACGGGCAGCCTCCAGGGGCATGCAAACCATCCATCAGCCACGGGGGACAGTCAGAACTAGGGTCTCCACATAAGCCCACTCCCCAATCTCGCGTCAATCGGCCCTTTATTTGGTTGCTTTCCTCCTGGAATGAAAGAGGGGCATGTGTTAAGGCATATGAAAGCGATTAGCACAACTGTTACAGTTAGCGCAGGTGGGGAGATGTCGGATTGTGTGAGTAGGCATTGCAGAGGGTACACAGGGTTAGTGGTGCCGGGGATGGGGTGGGTGAAAGTGAGTGAAGGATTAACGTCAAGATTAATTAGCTCAAGTCATTTCTATTGGCATGTCCCCACATTCTATTTTTAAGAGTGTCTACCCCTGCCTCATGATACACAAATGCTTCCAGTGACACATTGAGAGAAATGACCAGCTCCATCGTTTTACTGGTTGAAGGTATTGGCCAATCCTATACCTTCAGAACATCTTAATTCAGCGTTTAAAAGTGATGGAGTATCACATCAAATAATGTGTGGAATCTGATGGGGCTCGGAGGGGTCTTTGGTGAGATTTGTGGCAGAATCAGACAAGGCATCCAGCAAGGCTGATCCTAAGCTCCACAGCATCTTGCACCAACTTTTATAGATTTTACAGGCAGCATGGCCAGTTTCCCAATAGGCAGCAGCAAAATGCCAATGAAGGGAGATTAACGCTTTTTATGCACATTGTTTACAGCCCAACCCACCTCATTTATATTGAGTTTTCTATTTTACCAAACTCACCAAACAAGCTGTATGTTGAGAAAGCGCAACACAGAAACCGGAGTGGGTTCCATTCTGTAATAAATAACTTCTTTAAATATAATCCTTTCCTTGCATGACTGTTTTTCTTATTATGAGATTGTCAATGTGTCTTTTCCTGCACAGTTTCCAAGTCACTTCAACTGCTCACTGAGAACTCATCAGATCTATCCAATGAAATAGCCTTCCAATAGTTTCTGTTACTTGTTTAGACTTTGCATAACTGACAGTTGGTTTAAAATAATTGGCCATTAGCATTTAACTGAATACATCACACCATCTGCATTTGTTCAATATTAATTTGGGTCCTCTCAAGCCTATAATTTCAAAAGGAAACTGATTTGGCCTGTACAACAGATGTATTAAAATAAACATAGTACAGAAATCTGAAGCACAATCATTTTTTGTTAAGCTGCAGCAACAAGAAGAAATTAATAAAACTGAAGAAAGAAAAGACTTATATTTATACAGCGCCTGTTAGATCATCAGAATTCCCCGAAGGACTTCATGGCTAATGAAGTACTTTCGAAATGACAACACTTGTTATGATGTAAATACAGCAATCAATATCCGCACAGCAAAGGTCCATAAATAAGAACGTAGGAAGATATAAGACAACAACTTGCAGAGCTGGATGAACACAGCAGGCCAAGCAGCATCATAGGAGCAAAAAGACTGATGTTTCGGGCCTAGACCCTTCTTCAGAAATGGGGGAGGGGAAGGGAGTTCTGAAATAAAAAGGGAGAGAGGGGAAGGCGGATAGAAGATGGATAGAGGAGAAGATAGGTGGAGAGGAAACAGACAGGTCGAAGAGGCGGGGATGGAGCCAGTAAAGGTGAGTGCAGGTGGGGAGTTAGGGAGGGGATAGGTCAGTCCAGGGAGGATGGAC